TTTTGCCTTTTTCCTGTCAAACGTTGCCTTCCACGCTATGCTTTTCCGACTGTGTTTTACATGCATGCCTCGTCGCTCTATTTTTTTCTCCCCCATTCGTATATCTCGAGATCGATCGGGAAAAAACAACGATTAACGCTAGAACTACAGGCTCTTCACCCTGCTATAGTCCTCAGATTTTTACATTTTAATATCTCACTCAAACGAGAAGAAGAAAGGATTTATGACGTTTCAACGAAGACACGAAAGTTATTGGCCGAAAAATCGTACTGATGAGAATTGTTTTAAAGAGTACGAGATATTCTTTAATTTTAGAAAAGTATAAATAGGTCGAAGACAACTGAAAGAACAGAAGCAGAAGGATTAATATACGTTAGAGAAATGGAAATGCATAGTCAATAATTTATGTAAAGCTTTCGTTTTGATGATTCTGGCCAATTGATTCGAATATTAGATATTCGATGACATATCTGCGGAAGCAACTCGTTTTTTCCCTCGATCGGGCAACGTGTAATTAATCGCGAGGAATTTCGATCGATACCTCGGGCGTTACGCAAACGAAATAGAAATTTGGCGCGGCCGCTTACGAAATCCTGATTTCCATCTGCCGGACGCGTTTTTCAGAGTGGCAAGGCCAAAGTCATCGGCGAACGCTATTATTCCGATTGAGCTGCGTCGACGATCTAATGGAAAGTTCATCGATAGCTACCTGGTTACGCGTAATTGCAAGATTGTCCAACGTCTCACTATCCTGCAGCATCTGTTGAAGGCCGCGTAGGATCACAGACGGGATTTGCATGAAACTTTCGAGCGACGAGCGTTTAAAATTCCGCGCGCGTAAAAAACAAAAGGAAAAACACGCACGGAGACGATCCTCCTTCGGGCGAATCGCGAGCGCAAATATCACGGGCGTATCCTCGTTCTGAAATTCTTGACGATCCCCTTTCAAAGATCAGCAGGCGTGTCGTGTGCTTGTAGAAAATCGCGTTTCAAACGACCTCTGAGATCGTTGGAATTTGCATTGGCGATATATGGGGAGATGAGCGTCAGTAAGCTTACTTATCAGAGAATTTCAATTTTCAAGTCCGTTTCGTTTGATATATTTTGTACTTTGCAAGATATTACAGAATAGTTGTAAAGAGTTTTACTTTTATATATTCTC